GGAAGATCATATGATAATTTATTTTCTCTGATATCTTATTTTGCTCAGTAACTGAAAGTGGAGAAAACTAAAAATCTAATAAAGAAGAATTTGTCTTTATTTCCAAATAAAACCAATATATTAATAATATACATATCTCTATTTCCGAGTAACAAGTTACTAAAAGGTCTAAGTCAAAGATTGCTGTAAAAGCCCAGAAATAAATCTGAGAATATGAGCATTAATATATGATAAAAAGTATTTTAATCTAGTAGGAGAAAGAGGACTAGTTCAATAGTCAGATTTGGCATAATTTGGTTTATTTCTGAATGAAAACAGAGCTGACATCCTGTATCACACCATATACAATAATGAATTCCAGATGGATTAAAATGTTAAAATCTGTGTGTCTATACACCCACATATATGAAAAACTGTACACTCTATTCTTTATCCTCTTCCCTCTGAAAGTTTCTATAAGCAGTACCTTCCTAAGGAACAGAAAACACTGGAAATGGTTTGGTAAACCTATTTTATAGAAATGAAATGGAGAGGAATATAAAATAGGGATGTTTATTGAAGCACTACTTTTTTTTTTTTAAGATTTTATTTATTTAACAGAACACAGCAAGAGAAGGAATACAAGCAGGGGGAGTGGGAGAGGGAGAAGCAGGCTGCCCCCTGAGCAGGCAGCCTGATGCAGGCCCCGATCCCAGGACCCTGGTCTCATGACTGGGCTGAAGGCAGATACTTAACGACTGAGCCACCCAGTCGCCCTCAAAGCACTACTTTTAAGTGGCAAAGAGGAAACAGTCTGAAATATCAAAGTTGGGGAATAGGCATTGGTATAAGCATACTTGGGCATGCAATATAATGTAACCATTCCGAAAACTAAGTTAAGGGGTGCCTGGGTGGCTCAGTTGGTTAAGTGTCTGCCTGCAGCTCAGGTCATGATCTCAGTATTTTGGGATCCAGCCCAGCATCCAGGTCCCTGCTCAGAAGGGCAGGGAGCCTCCTTCTTCCTCTCCCTCTGCCCCCCGCCCCCAATTCATGTTCTCTCTCTCGTGCTCTGCTTTCTCTCAAATAAATAAATAATCTTAAAAAGTAAAAATAAGAACTAAATTAAATCATTATTTACTGACCAGGATATTCAAAATGTAGTTGAATTTAAAAAGCAAATTACAGGGGCACCTGGGTGGCTCAGTGGATTAAAGCCTCTGCCTTCGGCTCAGGTCATGATCCCGGGATTCTGGGATCGAGCCCCGCATCGGGCTCTCTGCTCGGCAGGGAGCCTGCTTCCTCCTCTCTCTCTCTCTGCCTGCCTCTCTGACTACTTGTGATCTCTATCTGTCAAATAAAATAAAATAAAAATCTAAAAAAAAAAATTTTTAAAAGCAAATTACAGAGAAATGTATAAAGTATCCACTTTTTTGGTAAAAATATACTAAAATAAATTAGCTGTGTTAATGTTTAAGCATAAATAAATATATGGGTGATATACACAAGGTTTGAACATTACGCAGAAGGAAATGAATAGAGGGGAAGGGAGTGAGAAATAACGAAGGACAGATTTTTTTTTTGGTTTATTGGTATTGCTTCATTGGTTTGGGTGCAAATGCATTATCTTTGTAATTTTTGATGAAGCACTTAACAAATGACTTAAAATAGGCTCATAAAAGAATACAAAATTTCACTTAGCAGTCCTCATTTTGATAGTAATGCAAAATATTTGAACAAAATATCCTGTCTACTAATTCTCTAATTGGCTTCACTTTTCTTTTTTTGGAAGACTTTTAAATTTAGAGAGAGAGCATGTGCAAGTGGGGGAGGGGTAGAGGAAGAGAGAGAATCCCAAGCAGACTCCACACTGAGTGTGAAGCCCATTACGGGGCTTGGTCTCACAACCTTGAGATTATGGCCTGAGCTGAAATCAAGGGTTGGATGCTCAACCGATAAGCCACCCAGGGGTCCCCACTCAACTTTTCTTAAATTGATTATAAAATATTTTATGGGCATACACCTGTAACAAATAAAATAACTCAATATTAAAAAAAAAAAAAACCAAACCCTCTAATATGGGATCTAAGAAAAAAGGAAGTGGGGAATGGAAGGACAGACCTCCCCTATCCCTGGAAATATTTTAATCTAAGAAATTCTGTTCACATCTAAGAAATTCTGGGCAAATTATCTTGTTTTGTACCATCTCTCCACTTAAATTTCCTTGGGAGCAAGGTGTCTGCACTATTAAAAACTCACTGCTCTGGTCTCCAGAACAAAAGTAATTCATGGGCTGTTTGTGCAGTCCATATAACTCCTTTGGCCCTCATGGTGTCTTTAAATAAAAATCTGAGCTACCACTTAATAATCAAGAGCTATTGGGGCGCCTGGGTGGCTCAGTCAGTTAAGTATCTGCCTTTGACTCAGGTCATGATCCCAGGGTCCTGGGATTGAGCCCCACATCAGGTACTCGAGCCTGCTTCTTCCTCTTCGTCTGATTCTCCCCCCTCCTCCAGTTTGTGCGCTCTCACTCTCTCTCAAATAAATAAAATCTTTAAAAAAAAAAAAAACCCAAGAGCTATCACACACTAAAAAAATAAGTAAAACATAAAATATCTGGATTCTCTCAAAAAATCAGAAGAGCTGCCAAAACGCCTGTTTCCTCACGTCGGTTAGTTGCAACTGGGGACTGGGTATCATCTTCTTTAGCTACTGTCACAACCAGGCTCATTTCTATTATTCTTTTAATAGGTACCTATAATTTGTTCATTTCTTTAGTATGCTTGCTTGTATCTTCATGGATGACACCAAAAAATAGCTTTCTTTTTTGGGTGTCCTAAGATGGTGCTAATGTAAGATTATATCTGAGTATGAGATGTCTAACTCTGTATAACAAATAGTGAAACACCTGATGTTTTAGAGGCACTTTGTGGTTAAGTGTCCAACTCTAGTTTTTGGCTCAGGTCATGATCTCGGGTTGTGAGATTGAGCCCCAACTTGGGCTTGCACTGGGTGTGGAGCCTGTTTGAAATTCTTTCTCTGTCCCTCTCCCCATCTCTCTCCCTCTATAAACAAACAAACAAACAAACAACAAAAACAACCCCAAACAAGTTGATAATGTTTTGCCTGAAAAGAATTTGGTTTGATGCTTCATTAGCAGTAATAGCTACTATATCACATTAAATTTCTTTTTTTCTGTGTTTATAAATCTTCCAAGAGTTCTCTTTGAGTCAATGCTGTAATTTTTATTTTCCTAAAAAATAGTGTAGGGTTTCAAATGTATCAAAAAGAAGCACTGTATTTAACATTTTATTTTTATTACTTATTTATTTTTAAAAATTTTAAAGATTTTATTCATTTGAGAGAGAGACAGAGAGAGAGCATGGGTGGTGGGGGGAGCAGCAGACTCGTCGCTGAGCTGGGCGTCCAATGTGGGCCTCGATCCCAGGACGCAGAGATGCTTAACTATCTGAGCCCACCCAGGTGCCCGTTTATTTATTTTTTTTTAAGATTTTATTTTTAAGTAATCTCCACAACCAACTTGGGGCTTGAACTCACAGTGCTGAGACCAAGAGTTGCATGCCCCATTTAGTAAGCCAGTCAGGCACCCTAATATAACATTTTAAATCAGTAACTATTAAGCATTGTTTTGTGTATTTATCCATTTTTCAAACATAATGCTGTTTGTCTTTTCATACTTTTTCATCAGTGTCACAGTGGTTTGTTTATACTCTTGTTTTTATGTTAGGCATTATATGATGTAGTAAAAAGGATGCCAGTCTGAGTGAAGTCCTTCCCACATGCTACACACATTACTTTTACCACCAACATTTAGGATTATTTCATGTTCCATAGGAAGTTAAGTGATGATGGAAAATTTTTTGAATTCATTACCCTGAGTGTGTCTTTCTTCTACTTTATGTCCTGCCTGTTGTTCAGCAAGGTCTGTAGAAACTGTTGTTTTTCAACAAATAACACTAATGACAATGATGAATAAAATAATGACCAACATTCAGTGAGTATTTATTATATGACAGGCACAGTTCTAAGCACTTTATGTGTCTTTATTTGATCCTCACACAAAATTTTGAGGTAGGTGTAATTATTCCCATTTTATAATTTCTATTGAGACAAATATGTATAAAAACAGAAAAATGCTCAGGAAGGATAAATACTAAACACATAATGACTATCCTTCAGAATGGGGAAAGGGTACAAGGATGGTAGTCCATGGGTATGTTTGCCTTATTTGCAATTTTTAAATCTTTTAAAAGGAAAATGTTTATGCATTATTTCTGCAATTAAAATACATGATACAAAGATATGCCTAGGGAGAATTTCCATCAGGACACCATGAATAATGGCAAAATAGCTGGGAAACTACAATGTCTATCAATAGGAATTTGATAAAATGGTATCACAGCAAGGAAACACTAGGAAGCTATGAAAAGATCTCTCCTTACTCTGTTGAAAGTTGTTCATCGATGTTTTACAAGAAGAAAGCCTAAGTTTTGTAAATAACAAAAAGAATAAGCCATCTTAGAATAAAGAGATCACTTCTTTCAGGTCTTAAAGGTGTCTTACAAACTGTGATGTAAAGAAACTGAACTTCACAGTCACATAATTTAAGATGGGTTAAAATATTAAGAACATAGCAACTATAGACAAATTAGGGGAAAATGAAAATTAGGATTATATTTAACATGAATTCTGAGGCTTAAAATAAGGTTAAAAAGGTGTCAAAAGTGCTATGACTTTCAGTATTTGCTAGCTTGAATTATCTAATGTCAAAAGAAATATATGCTTTTATCAAAGGGCTTCCAAAATATATTCTACTCATAGGATGTTTCTCCTACATGATTTTTCTCAGGTTGAATAAGCTAGAGTCAACAAATAAGATGTTTCTACATTGTCCTATTTAAAGGGATTATTATCAAGGTAAGTTCTCTAATATTGAATAGTTTTGAGCTGTAATTAAAAGCCTTCCTACAGATTTCATATATTCTATGGTTTATCACCAGTACAAATTTTGATGTTGAATAAGTTGTGAGCCATAATTAAAGGTCTTTCCACATTCCCTATATTCATATGGTTTCTCACCACTATGAATTCTATGATGACTAATAAGTTGTGAACTCTGAGAATAGGCTTTCCCACATATCTTACATTCATAGGGCTTCTCACCAGTATGAATTCTCTGATGTCGAGTAAGGTCTGAACCAGAACGAAAAGCCTTTTCACATTCCTTACATTCATAGGGTTTCTCACCTGTATGAATTCTCTGATGTTTAATAAGTTGTGAGCTCTGACTAAAGGCATTGCCACATTCCTTACATTCATAGGGTTTCTCCCCTGTATGAATTCTCTGATGTTGAGTAAAGTTTGAGCCACTACTAAAAGCCTTCCCACATTCTTTACATTCATAGGGCTTTTCACCAGTGTGAATTCTCTGATGTCGAGTGAAGTTTGAGCCACTACTAAAGGCCTTTCCACATTCCTTGCATTCATACGGTTTCTCACCAGTGTGAATTCTGTGATGTCGAGTAAGGTCTGAACCACAAATAAATGTTTTCCCACATTCCTTACATTCAAAGGGTTTCTTGCCAGTATGAATTTTCTGATGATGACTGAGTCTTGAGGGATGTCTAAAGGCCTTTCCACATTCCTTACATTCATAGGGTTTCTCAATGGTATGAATGATCTGATGTGTACTAAGTTGTGAGTCATGTCTAAAGGTTTTCCTATATTCCTTAGTTGCACAATATTTCTCTTTATTATTAATGATTTGCTGTAATGTAAAGGATGGATGCTGACTGAAAGTGGGCATTCCTTCATGGGTGAGTATCAGTTGACTGAAGTGTCCCTCCTGAGAGCCATGTTGTTTCTCAAACTGGCCATGACATTCCCAATCATCTCTGAAACTAGAGCACTGAAGGTCATGTCTTGTAAGTCTTTCCATTATTTCCCACTGCGCTGACTCTATTTCATAAATTTCCTTCTTCAGAAATAATTTCTTGGTCTCACATCTTGATTCCAGGACTGAAAGAAAATATGAAAGTAATCACTCACATTTTTCTTGTTTGGGAGAAATAAAACTTCAATTAAAAGGGAAGAATTAAAATGAACTTTAAAAAAATAGACAAGAAAAGAGCAAGGACAGATCATATAGTAAGATGAGGGCACTAAGTAAGCCACTGGTTTCCAAACATTGCTATTGATCAGAATTACTTAGGGGAACTTGCTGAACATAAAGATGACTTAAGTCTTATCTCCCTTGTTACAAAATGACTTTAATCATAAATACATGTACAAAATCTCACAGCATATGCACACACAGCTATAAGAGCATCCCACAGATGAACTGTAAAATAAGGGAAATGATCATGCCTACTTAATAGAGTTACTATCAGGATTAAATGAATATGTCTAAGAAAAAATTCCCAGGGGTTGGCAAACTAAGGCCTGCAGCACTGCATCAATTTTTGTAAGTAAAGGATTATTGGAAGACAGCTACACTTACTTATTTACATATTGTCTATGACTGCTTTTAAGCTACAATGGCAGAAGTGAGTAGTAGCAATGGAGACCACATTAACTACAAACTTAAAAATATTTATTACCTGGCCCTTTAGGAAATGTTGCCAGCCCCTGGTTAGATTTACGTTGTCTATTACAGTATCCATGGCCATATGTGTGTATTTGAATGTAACATAATTAAAATTAAATAAAAATTCAAATTTAATTCCTCAGTGGCACTATCCACATTTCCTGTGGCCAATTGTGGCTAGTGACTACCATGTTGGAAATGACAAACATAGGACATTTCCATCATCACTGGAAGTTCTATTGGACAGTACTGGTCTAGATTCTGCAACTGGAGACTCCAGGTCTCTTTAAAAAATGATAAGGAAATAGAGGGTGGCAATCTAGATGGGAGCATGAATGAATCTAGTATGAGTATGAGTGGTAGATAAAGAGGGTTCTTTTGGAGCTAAAAAAGGAATATGTTTGGGGTTTGATGAAAATACTTTATGGCTTGGAATTCTGTGATGCTGATCTGAGTTAGGAGAAGAGAAAAGTACTTAACAAGTATGTAAGCATTAAGAGTTCTGACCAACTGACAGGAAGGGCATTTGTGGGTTTTAAGAGAAGGAAGAGACTATAACGGCAGTGTTCTACTGGAAGTTCAGAGTTACCAGATTAAGTCATGAATTTTGAACTCACGCTCAAGTTAACTACAAGCTTTGTTTTCTTGGCCAAAGTTGTTCATTTTTCTGAGCCCTCAATTCTCTATTCATACAATAGAAGTAATAACTCTTATAATCGTGAGAATTGTAAATAATATATAAAAGTATTTGTCATAAAGTAAGTGTTTAATATTTGAGAGATAATACAAAAGAATCTCTCTACAAAAATGGGGATATTAGGCAAGTGAAGTGTTTTGAAGACCACACTATGGACCAAAAAAAAAAAAAAAATGAAAATCATTCGAGTACCATTGTCTCTTTCTCTCAAATAATTATTCAGCAAATATCCCCTAATCTTGCTCCTAAAATATATCTTAAAACTCTTCCTCCTGTTGTCAGTAAAATATCTAATATATCTCTTGAACATCAGGACAGCCTCTTTCTTTTTTAATTTCCCCACTTGAGGTTTACAATCCTGAATCCATCCCTTATGATATTTCTCCTACAATAAAAGCCAAACTGCTGAACATGGTCTATAAAGCTCTGAATGACCTAGTTGCTGCCTGCCTCTTCAAACAAATCTCAAGCTATGCTCCCTTTTGGTTGCTAAGCTCCATCATCATGTTGGCCCCATTTTGCAGGTCTTCAGATGCTCCCAGTTTTTAGTTCCTCTTAGGATCTTTCCAGGAATTTTTCCTTAAGTCTCGTAGATTCCGCCCCCCCCCCCCACTGTTGGCCTTGATAACTACTGCCCATTTTCCAAATCTCTAAAGGTCATACTTTTTGAGGCCTTCCCTGATTCCAGGACCAAATTATACCCTCCTTGTAATCACAATTTGTAATTACATATTTAGTCAGGTTCACTTAATATCTTTTCCCCTGAATAGGTGTTAAGGTCTTTGTGTTTACTTCATTTTAAAAGTAAAATGTCTATTGCCTTCATCAATGTGTATCCAGTTCTAAGCACAGTTATCTGGTACATACTGGAAGATCAACAAATATTTATTAACTGACTTGATCAGCAAGTATTTGAATATATACTCCTTAATAAAAGATGTATTAAAAAATTCCTCTAGAAAAAAAGGACATGCTCTTTTCAAACACCACACAGTGAATATATATTTATTTTACTGTTCCTTCAACTCCCATTAAAGTGATAGTGATGAGATTAAATGAAAGAAGAGACTCCATGAGGACAAAGAATAGGAGAGGGGAGAGCAGCAACAAAATTTTGGAAGCTAGAGTAGAGGTAATGGTAACAAATAAAGTGCCAAAAATAAATAAATAAATAAATAAATAAATAAATAAAGTGTCAAATAAACACTGAAACCTAGGTTGCAGATTGGTCCTACTATACAATCTACTTATTTCCAAGAATTGCAATCAACAGGTATCTTTGAAAGTAGGGTGCATGGTGGGCTGCAAAAAGGAAGATTAATTGAAAATCTGTAAGAAACAGATAGACCTCAGATTGTCAAATCTACCCCAAAAAGCAGGCTGATTCCCCAGCCTGATATCCTCAGTAAACTTTCAGAATCTGGCAATCAAGCTCATTTTATTGATTCCTAGAGAGAAAGTAGAGGATTCCATTCTGGAGAAAACAAGACTAAAATATGCGTAAGTGGTGTGAACCACTGAACCGTTCTAGGCAGATCACTCTACAGTGACTACCACCAATAAATCTACACATCCTCAGATACAAACAAGCTCAGATCAGCTTTTTACTACAACAGTTTTATATGAGCAGACAGCCTTGAGTCATTAACAATTTCAGGAAAAATCTTAAACATGAGAGATTAAAATGAACAAAGAAAAAACTCAGGGGGATGCCTAGGTGGCTCAGTGGATTAAAGCCTCTGCCTTCGGCTCAGGTCGTGATCCCAGAATCCTGGGATCGAGCCCCACATCGGGCTCTCTGCTCAGCGGGGAGCCTGCTTCCCCCTCTCTCTGCCTGCCTGTCTGCTTGTGATCTCTGTCAAAATAAATAAATTAAAAATCTTAAAAAAAAAAAAAACTCAGGAAAGGGAGACAATGGAGAAAAATTTAAAAATTCAGAGAAAGAATGCTTCTAAAAACATAAACAATCTCAAGAGAACAATGTCAGAAAAAATATTCAAAGAACAACTAATGAGAATTAGAACTTAATAAAAATCTCACAGAAAGTACAATAAAAATATGAAAAATAGAAAAAAAAGAAATTCTAGAGCTGAGACAAGAAATTCAAGATCTTAATTATGAGTGTTTAATCATTCAAAAAATTTAATGAGCCCATAATATATGTCAGAAATGGTGCCAGGCACCGGAAAAAAAAGTGAACAAAGTCTGAAACACAGAGAACAGAGAAGATAATGGGGAATAAGTAATAAGAAAATAATACAAGAAAACTTTAGATATTTTGTTTCCAGAATGAAATGTCTCAGTGGGTGCCCAAATGAAAGAATAAATTCAACATTATATACTCAACTTGAAATATTAGAATGTTATAAATAAATTCTAAAAGTTTCCAAAGAGATTAAACAGATCACATAAAAGACTTAAGAACCTGAATGTGTTTTGGATTTCTCCATGACACTAGATGCTAAATTAATTTTAAAAATCCATGGAGCAATGCCATCGAAATTCTGAAGTTAAGTTTTTCCCCCCACTGATTTTTTTTTTTAAAGATTTTATTTATTTATTTGACAGATAGAGATCACAAGTAGTCAGAGAGGCAGGCAGAGAGAGAGGAGGAAGCAGGCTCCCTGCTGAGCAGAGAGCCCGATGTGGGGCTCGATCCCAGGACCCTGGGACCATGACCTGAGCCGAAGGCAGAGGCTTTAACCCACTGAGCTACCCAGACGCCCTGAAGTTAAGTTTTTCAACCTAAAATTACATCTCCAGTAAATATCAATGAAAAAATGAGGGTGGAATGAAAACATTTTCAGACATTTAAGATTTCATAAAATATACTGTTTACTTTTCTTGAATACTTTCCTCGGTTGGTTTTGGAACATGTGCCTCAGAATAATGAAGGGATAAACCAAGAAAGAGGATGGCAAGAGATCCAAGAGTCAAGGTATATAAATGTATCCAAGGCATCCAAATACAGAAGCAAATCAAAAGAAATTCAAAGGAGCATAGTGAAGGGAATCAGTGGGATAATGAAGAGAAATTCTAAAATAATAGCTATGTAACAGTCTCAGTTGGGATGGAAGAACAGAGGGTTAGAGGAGAAATGTCTCTTAAAAAATAAGCCAGTTATCTGATGTGTTTGAAAAGAGATTAATGAGAGATATTGAGAAAACTAAGCAAATCTCAGTTAAGACAAGGATTAACTGCATGGAAAAGAACAAATCATATAGGAAGTGAAATGTGACTACAGAGCTCAATAATAAAAAACACTTTACATAGTCATCAAGTGAACTGAATAATTATTTAAAATTCATGATACTTGGAGGATGAAGGAAGGTGTATGCTAAATCTTCAAATTCCACAGTGAAAAGCCAATTATCACTAAAACAAGAATTCACGAAAAAAAAAAACTCTCAGAGAAAGGACACAAATAATGACAAAAAAGTAGTAGGAGT